ATCATTAATTCTTTCTTCATTAATGCCTGCATCGAGATCAGCATCTGCAGTAAATTCCTCCTGCAGCCTTGGAAACATATCATCTCCGTCGACTTCTGGTTGCCATGCTCCACCACCAGTCGGAGTGCCATCAATGAACACTCTTCCCTCTTCGTGGACCTCCGTAAGAATTTTAATGGTGAAAACCCTACCATTAATGATAACAGGACATTTCTCCAGAACTGCCATGCACACTGAATCTCCAGAAGCAACCTAGCTTCATCGAATCTAACTCTTTTTCTTGTTTCTTCATGGTTTAAACAACTGAACCCCACAAGCTCCCTAATCCGTTGAAGAACTTATTGCTCTATATTATCACTGGAACATCTTTCAAAACAACCCATATTTTTCTTTTGATTCTTTACTCATATCCTTCTAAGAATTCCATTTCATCAAACCAGGTTCGAAGTCAATCCTCTCTTCTATCCCAGCACACATGACGCTCCATTTCCCCTTTAAACTGGATAACCACTAGCATTTCGTGCCAATAACTAACCCTTACATAAAAACCTTCTGCTTTGAAGGCTGTATGAATTATGTCCTCATTATACACCCTTTTAATTTTACCGACCAAACAACTCTCTCTCCACCGTAACTCATTCTTAGGAACCACTATATTTGAACTAGTTGTTTGACTATTCGGACTTAAGTTTGGAGAGCATTCTTCCGAAATACTGACATGAACAACAGCACCAGATTCTACTATCCTAAATTGTTGATTTGCTGTAACCTTTTCCTATGACAATCCAACTTCATCATTCTGACCGCCCAAAACATCCCTAAATGACTTGAAATCTCTTATAGTCGGTTTCCACACCTACTTAACCGATTTTCCATACTCAAATCTGTTACTTTTTTATTCAGATGCTTTATCATGATAAACTCTAATTCTGTAACCATCCACCAACCTCTCATATGCCCTTCGAACTATTAAATTAGCTTTATTCTTGCTTCTAAACCTAACAAACGCAAATGTAGAACCAACTAAGAGTCTCCTTCTGCTTCTTAACGCAATGAACACATCTGACACTGCACCATACTCCTGGAACGCTTTCTTAAATGTTAACGGATAAATCCTTTTACTCACATTATTAACAAAGACAATATGTATCATTGACGACTGAACTGCTCTCACTGTTCTGCCTCTTCTTTTTTTGCAAGTAACATTACAACATCTTAATTTTTTTGTTATAATTGTTGCTTATATCTAATTGATTAATTCAAATTAAGTATTACAAAACAAGGATTGTAACACCCCCAACCCGTACCCAACCCAGATACGAATCCGAAGAGCCACATTGACTTTTCAAAGTACATACATTTATAAAAACCATACTAAATTTAAAATTTTATTAACACCAAAGCTATATTTACATTCATAACCTTATCATATATTATCATCATTTATCCATTTTATCTTATCATTTTATTTTTACCTTTAATATACATACACATCATATAATATCATATCACCAAACAAACATATATCACCCAAAATTTTCTCATATTGTATCTTTAATGGCCCATGTATATACTGAGAACTTAAGGTATTCGAGTACATAGAGGTTGTGCACATCTGCTATCACAACAGCTCGTATAAGTCCCACTGAGTGGCATATGAGATTTGTCCCGAAGGACCTATGTATATGTCCCGAAAGACCTATGAGTATGTCCCAAAGGACCTATGAAACCCTCGACTCTTGGCATGCCAACTATACCTAGAGCTCTCATATTACATAATATGGGCATTAATATTTTACTTCATATAAACATGTACTTATATCATTTCCTTAGCAGTCACATATATCTTTTCTTCTATCACATTTCACATGTGTATATGATCATCCATATCATATTCTATGACAAAAGTATTTGAATACATTCATATGAGTCATATAACATGTAATGAATCATATGTACACATATATTACTTATGCATATTTAATAAAGACTATAATGTATGCATGTTCATAACTATTATACTATGAAATTAATCTAGGAAATAGACTTATCACAAGTCTATTTCCATTAAATTATACATATATTATGCACTCACCTTAACCTTGTTTGCTTTGATTTGATCCTAACTCTTCGATTGTTCCAGAACGGCATTACGTTCTATATCTACACAATAATACATGGATCCATATCAATATTTTAATTTATATAATCTAATATTTCATTCCTTAGACTAAGAGAAAGGCTACTTTCATATTTTATTTAAGGTAGGTCTCGGTATACTCTATAGTGTATCGGTATATTCCTTAACTTGTATATCGATACACTACCTATGTATCGATACACAAATTATATTCGATGTTTTCATTTTAAAGGGTGTATCGATACACTTCCTGTGTATCGGTACACTTTGAACATTTTCTGTAAATTTACCCTTGATGTATCGGTACATATTAAATGTGTACCGATACACACATACCCAGAATTCACATTTTATGCACGAAAATTACTCAACTTAGCTCAAAAACTTCCTATTTCCTCCCCTTACATATTCCTAACTCACATCCATATACTTAAATCCATTATTACTCATTTATCACCTCTTAAACCTCAAAATCCTATCTTTTATATGTAATTCAAGAATTACACCAACTTTGCAACATGTTCTAATTCCAATTCTAACACTTTATACATGTTAATTAGGTTGATTACAAGTCAAATTCAATCTCAAACTTCATTAGAGAACGTTCTTCCATGATTTCACTTATTCCCCTCTTTTCTTTAATTCCCTCTATTCTCTTCATCTTATTATTTCCAGACAATTTAAGCTCTCCTTAAGCTTAACTATCACCTAATAATCAAAATCAAACTTGAATTTTAACTACTTATCAATTAACAATGAAACTTACCTTTACTTTGGGACCTTCACGTTTGAAGAAGAGAGAATAAGAAGATATCTCTAGAAGCTTAGATTTTTGCTTCTTTGTCTTCCACGTGGGTTAATATAACCATAGCCCAAATTAAATTATTTTTCCTTACCAATAGACCATTTTGTCCTTCATTTTCTTCTTCTTTACAATTCAATCCTACACAATATTTTTCCATATAAGTCCTTGAACTATTAAATTATTCTACTTCAGTCACTAAATTCTGAAATTTAACAATTTGGTCACTAACCCGATATTGAGGATGTTACAAATCTCCCCCTTAAGAAAATTCATCCTCAAATTTTTAATGCGCAAAGAGATGGGGGTATTGATTCTTCATGTCTTCTTCACACTCCCACGTTGCTTCCTCTACCTTATGATTCCTCCACAAGACTTTAACCAATGGAATAGTCTTGTTCCTTAATTTCTTAACCTCGTGAGCTAAGATTTTAACCGGTTCTTCCTCATACGTCAAATCTGATTGAACTTTGATCTCTTCTAGAGTCACAATATGGGAGGGATCAGATCTGTACTTCCGAAGCATTGAGACATGAAAGACATTATGTATCTTTTCCATTTCAAGTGGCAAAGCTAATTGATATGACACGGGTCCAACTCTCTTAATGATTTCATAAGGTCTAATAAACCTGAGACTAAGTTTTCCCTTATGTCCAAACCTCAAAACCTTCTTCCAAAGAGATACTTTGAGAAACACTTTGTCTCCAATTTGATATTCTATCTCCTTCCTCTTTAGATCAGCATAAGATTTATGTCTATCAACTGCTGCTTTGAGATTACTCTGAATCACTTGGACCTTTTCTTCCACTTCTTGAATAAACTCAGGACCGAGAACTTCTTTATCTTTAAGCTCAAACCAATTCAAGGGCGTACGACATCTTATTCCATAAAGAGCTTCATAGGGAGCAATTTTGATGCTTAATTGATAACTATTATTGTACGCAAATTCGGCAAGTAGAAAATACCTTTCCCACGATCCCTTGAATTCTATTACACAAGCTCTTAGCATGTCCTCTAGAATTTGGATAATCCGTTCAGATTGTTCATCAGTCCGAGGATGAAATGTTGTGCTAAAATTCAATCGAGTCCCCAATGCTCCTTGTAACGACTTCTAAAATCTCGACGTAAATCTCGGATATCTATCCGAAACAATAGAAGTTGGTACGCCATGTAATCTGATAATTTCTCTAATATACAGTTCGACATATTTATCCATGGAGAAATCAACTCGAACCGGAATAAAATAAACTAACTTAGTCAATCTGTCTACAATCACCCATATTGAATCTCTTTTATTTGGAGTCAAAGACAAATCTGTTACAAAATCCATCGTTACATTCTCCCACTTCCACTGAGGAATAGACATTGGTTGCAACAATCCTAACGGAACCTGATGCTAAGCTTTTACTTGCTGACAAGTCAAACACTTAGATACGAATTCCGTAATGTTCATTTTCATTCCAGGCCACCAATATCGACTCTAGAGATCCATGTACATTTTGTTTCCTCCTAGGTGCATCGTCAATGGACTATAATGAGCTTCTGTTAACAAATCATTCTTCAATTCATCATTATCTGGAATTACTAGTCTCCCTCAAAAGTATAGATTCATATTAATCTCATAATCAACAAGCTCTCAATTTTGTACTTGTCGTAACCTTTTTGAACACTTTTCTTCTCTAGCTTGCAATTCCTTGACTCTGTCTACCCACGATGGCCGAAGGGATAATTCTGCACATAAAGCACCTTCATCATTCAATGAAAACCTAGCATCCAAAGCTCGTAAGGCTGCAAACGTCTTCTGGCTTAAAGCATCTACTACTACATTTGCTTTTCCAAGATGGAAGTAAATTATTATATCATAGTCTTTTAGAAATTCCACCATATTCTTTGCCTTAAATTTAATTCCTTTTGAGTCATTAAATACTTCAGGCTCTTATGATATGTATACAAGTAACATCGTTCACCATACAAGTAGTGACGCCAGATTTTAAGAGCGAACACCACTGCAGCCATTTCTAAATCATGCGTAAGATAATTCTTCTCGTGCGGTTTTAACTACCTCGATGCATACGCCACCACTTTACATTCTTGCATCAATACACATCTCAAGCCATTATGGGATGCATCACTGTACACCACATAATTTTTACCAGACTCCGGTTGAACTAGTATTGGAGCTTCTGTCAAAATCGTTTTTAACATGTCAAAACTTTCTTGACATTCAGGAGTCCACATAAATGTTACACCTTTTCTCATCAGCTTAGTCAAAGGTAAAGCGATCACCAAAAAGTTCTTAACAAACCTTCGATAATAACCCACAAGTCCCATAAAGCTTCGAACTTCAGATACATTCTTGGGAACCTCCCATTCAAGAATAGCTTTTACTTTTTGAGGATCTACTCAAATTCATTCCGTGGAAATCACATGTCTGAGGAATATCACTTCATTCAACCAGAACTCACATTTGGATAGCTAGGCATACAACTTCTTGTCTCGTAGAATTTGCAAAAATGTTCTCAAGTGTGCACTATGATCTTTTTTCGTCTTTGAATACACCAATATGTCATCGATGAAAACCACTACAAATTGGTCTAGATATGGTTGAAATATTTTATTCATTAAATCCATAAAGGCAGCTGGTGCATTTGTAACTCCAAAAGGCATCACAATGAACTCATAGTGACCATACCTCGTTCTAAATACAGTCTTTGGAATATCTTTTTACTGAACTTTCAACTGATGATATCCAAATCGCAAATCAATCTTAGAGAAAACATAAGCTCCTCTCAACTGGTCAAATAAATCATCGATTGTAGGGAGATGATACTTATTCTTAATGGTTACTTTATTGAGTTGCCTATAGTCGATGCAGAGACGCATTGACCCATCATTCTTTTAAACAAACAATACTGGAGCTCCCCATGGCGAAACACTCGGTCTTATGAATCTTTTGTCCAACAACTCGTGTAATTGTATATTTAATTCTTGAAACTCTTTTGGAGCCATTCTGTATGGTGCCATGGCAATGGGTGCAGTTCCAGACATTATTTCAATTTGGAACTCCACTTCTCTATCCGAAGGTAACCTTGGTAATTCTACTGGAAAAACATCGGGAAACTCTTTGACTGTAGGGATTTCTTCTAATCTTTTTTCCTTGGTTCTAGTATCCAGTACATTAGCCGTGAAACACTGACATCCATGTAGCAATAGCTTCTTTGCTGACATCACCGAGATGATGTTTGCTAATGGATTCCATATTTCACTAAAAACTACCACTTACAATCTATCTGAACTGATTAGCGTTACCCTCTTCAATCTACAATCAACATTTGTATGATAATGGTATAACCAGTCCATTCCTAGAATCACCTCGAATTCGTCAAAAGGTAATTTCATCAGATTAGCAGGGAATTCAATTCCCTGAACATGTATGAGACATCCCTGACTTACCAAATTCACACGAGCATTATATCCTAATGGATTCATTATTATCACCTCATCGTTAGTAACTTCTAGCAGAATGTTCAATTCTCTCACTATCTTACTACTAATGTATGAATATGTAGACCCCAGATCAATCAATACGATAACACGTTTATCAAATAGTAAAAAGGTACATGTTATTATCTCTGGGTCATCCCGGTCTTTATTAGTTTTGAGGTTATACACTCGAGCAGTGGAACTAACTTCCTGCTGAGTAGAGGATTCGGTTGGGTTGACTTCTACCCCTTCCTCTACCTCGCCCCCTCAGAGATATTGAAGAAGATCTTTCCGGTGGAACAGGTTCTCCGGCCCTCAAATGACAGTCTCTCATGAAATATGTTGTTTCCCCACATCAGAAACAAGCTCCTATTTTGACTCTGCATATCCCACTATGATTCCTTCCACAAATCTGACACTGTCTAACTTGACTCTGGTGTACTCGCCCATCACCAGACCCTACAGATTGAGTTTGTCTAGTTCTTACCTGATTTGATCCTCTAGTAGAGGATGCCACAGATTCTGACCTCGCTTGAGATCGAAAGCAAGAATCTCTACCTCTCTTAGGCGGTGCAGAACTCGATGGAACTCTAGTTCTTTTTTACGGTTGAGATCTTTGTTCCCCAAACAGTTCATTATGAGCTCTCTCTAGGGATTTAGCACGATTTACTACTTCTTGAAACGAGGACAGGTTCAGCACAATCAACATCTCTTTTAGCCTTGGACACAAGCCCTCAACAAACCACTCGCATGCATCTTTCTCTGTAGGCACCAATTCTGCTGCAAAGCGACTTAACTTATTGAATTCGCACTCATACTCATAACAATGTGGTTCATTTGCTTCAAATTTAAGAATTTTTGGTTCATTTGCTTGATGAACTGGTCTCCTATGTACTTATGCCGAACTCTTCCAGAAACAGAGACCATGTCACTTGATCACTGGTCATCCTCAAGGTGACATTTGTTCACCAGATTCTCGATTGCCCACGAAGCAAGGAGACCACTCCGTCCAGTTTCTCCACATCAGAACAGTGGAGTCCCTCTAACATGATCTTCACGTCATTAAGCCAAAGGTCCGCAGCAACATGACCTTCCTCAGTTTCACCTTTGAACTCAGGAGCTCCTAATCCCTTTAGCTCATTTGCAACATTCATCCTCTGCGTTGAGGAGGCAAGAGGTTGGAAACACGTCAAGATTACGTCCAACGTCCTGAAGAAGACGTCTTGGTCTTGTACAGGCACTCCAAAAGGTGTTTGTTCTTCACCTTGCCTGGCCAGGGCATGTGAATTACTACTTTCGACTAGCCTTTCATCTCCTACTTCACTTCGGGAGCTATCTTGTCCGGACATCTAATAAGATATAACCAAAAATCTCCATTAGCTAAACAACATACTCATTACTCTTATCAGATCAGATGTTCTTATTACTATATTGGCATGTACACTTTTTAAGACACTCTGGACTCTGGTTTATGCCGAGAATCGACTAAATTGTAGCTCTGATACCATTAAATGTAACACCTTCAACTCGTACCCAACTCGAATACGAATCCAATGTGTCACATTGACTTTTCAAAGTACATACAATTATAAAAAAGCATACTAAATTTAAATTTTTATTAACACCAAAACTATATTTAATTCATAAACTTATAATATATTATCATCGTTTATCCATTTTATCTTTTCATTTTATTATTATCTTTAATACACATACATATCATATAATATCATATCACCAAACAAACATATAACATCACCCAAAATTTTCTCATATTGTATCTTTAATGGCCCATGTATATACTGAGAACTTAAGGTATTCAAGTACATAGAGGTTATGCACATCTGCTGCTGTCACCACAGCTCGTATAAGTCTCACTGAGTGACATATGAGATTTGTCTCAAATGACCTATGAAACCCTCGACTCTTGGCATGCCAACTATACCTAGAGCTCTCATATTACATAACATGGGCATTAATTTTTTACTTCATATAAACATGTACTTATATCATTTCCATAGTAATCACAAATATATTTTCTTCTATCACATTTCACATGTACATATGATCATCCATATCATATTCTATGACACAAGTATTTGAATGCATTCATATGAGTCATATAACATATAGTGAATCATATATACACATATATTACTTATGTATATTTAACAAAGACTATAATGTATGCATGTTCATAACTATTATACTATGAAATTAATCTAGGAAATAGACTTATCGCAAGTCTTATTTCCATTAAATTATACATATATTATGCACTCACCTTAACATTGTTTGCTTTGATTTGATCCTAACTCTTCGATTGTTCCAGAACGGGATTACGTTCTATATCTACACAATAATACATGGATCCATATCAGTATTCTAATTTATATACTCTAATCTTTCATTCCTTAAACTAAAAGAAAGGCTACTTTCATCTTTTATTTAAGGTAGATATCGGTACACTATAGTGTATCGGTACATTCCTTAACGTGTGTATCGATACACTACCTATGTATCGATATACAAATTACATTCAATGTTTTCATTTTAAGAGGTGTATCAATACACTTCCTGTGTATCGGTATACTTTGAACATTTTCTGAAAATTTACCATTGATGTATCGATACATATTAAATGTGTACCGATACACACCAACCCATAATTCACATTTTATGCACGAAAATTACTCAACTTAGCTCAAAAACTTCATATTTCCTCCCCTTACATATTTAACTCACATCCATATACTTAAATCCATTATTACTCATTTATCACCTTTTAAACCTCAAAATTCTATCTTTCATATGTAATTCAAGAATTACACCAACTTTGCAACATGTTCTAATTTCAATTCTAACACTTCATACATGTTAATTAGGTTGATGACAAGTCAAATTCAATCTCAAACTTCATTAAAGAACCATCTTCCAAAATTTCACTTACTCCCTCTTTTCTATAATTCCCTCTATTCTCTTCATCTTATTGTTTCAAGACAATTTAAGCTCTCATTAAACTTAATTATCACCTAATAATCAAAATCAAACTTGAATTTCAACTAATTATCAATTAACAATGAAACTTACCTTTACTTTGGGACCTTCACGTTTAAAGAAGAGAGAAGAAGAAGATATCTCTGGAAGCTTAGATTTTTGCTTCATTGCCTTCCACGAAGGTTAATATAACCATAGCCCAAATTAAATTCTTTTTCCTTACCAATAGACCATTTTGTCCTTCAATTTCTTCTTCTTTACAATTCAATCCTACACAACATTTTTCCATATAAGTCCTTGAACTATTCAATTATTCTACTTCAGTCACTAAATTCTGAAATTTAACAATTTGATCACTAACCCGGTATTGAGGATGTTACAAGGATGACCCTTCCAACCCAAAAGATTTTCTTAGAAATATTAAAATTATTATTCAAAGGATCTACTACTTCATTCCCACTTAATCAACTATTGTCTTATTTGATTTTAAATATTAGAATATCAACTATTGTCTTATTTGATTTTAGAATATCATGTATTTCACATTCATATCCGAATAAAAACGACTAATACTCCTAATCTCGGATTTACGAAACCATCAAATTCTTAAAGATGAATACTATTTATTCTCCCAGCGTTATGTTGCCCCATTAATGGTGGAACCAACCAGCAACAAATCACTTCCATATTTTTCAAAGGCAAACCCCTGAGCTCCTTTAATCAAACTTTAAAATGTTCCCATAAAGAAAAAAGAGAGTAAATAAAACCCACAGTTACCGGTCATTTATGGTCTTAATTTTAATACATTTCTACTTGCCTGACTGAAAATACTGTTTGGTTTCCGGGAAAATGAAACTCAATGCTGGATCTCCGGTTGCTGTCCGAACCGGCATCGGACAAAGTGTTTACCGAATCTGCTTCAACTTAGGTAGATTTCTGGTAGTGAAAAGAGAAATCATCCTGGAGAAACTCTTGATATATGAGGAAATAATATTACAAAAACAATTAATGATAGTATAGTTTGAATTTATATATATATGAAAGCTACAAATATACACAATGGACCTACTTATATTTTACATCTCGATTGTAATAGTCATCCTAGTCATGGTGAACCTCAGCCATGAAAGAATCGGAACATGCATGCATTTTGTGTATATATAAGCTATAGTATGTACATATACAAATAACTTAGAGAATGCATCGACTCAAAAGAACTGCTAACCTAACAAAACTGTTCCGAGGCCTCGGTCAAGGTACTCAGGTGGATGACTCGGCTAGAAGCAAGGTATGCCACCATCCACATGCAATGTTTTTCGGGCGGCAACCCTCGATGGTAACTTGAGATGGAATATTGCGGTCAATCACATCACCGAGGCCGAGCTGTTTCAGACACGAAGCACTTAGGATTTTAGTTTGAGAACACAACAACAGAACAGAAGAGAAGATGCAAAACTACCGACTATCCTACTTTGAAGCACTTACGAGTGCATAAAATCTCTAGGATTATCCCCTAAAATACAGATTTAAAAGAAAATCAATTTGATACCGAAGAATAGTGTTATAAAATCGAGCTGCCAGCTAGTTTGATCACTGAAAAGTGTTGAGCATGATACCTGGCCATACTTGTTCCATCCCCAGCAGAATACTTTGCTATCCTCTTCAAGCAACCAAAGCACAGATTCAACAGACAGGCAAAAAATGAAACAGTGAAGAGTTCCAAAAATGCATGGCCAGCATACCTGTGAGTACAGCACTGTGACGAGCTCCGCACGAAACAATTTTTACATGTGTATTTTCCAAACTTGGATCATCCAAGAGCCTCGGGAGAGTCTGATTTTGAAATTCAAACAATAAGACTAATGCAGAAACTTCCTTGCAGTCGGGGAAAAAGATCACTGGAGGAAAATATGGAATTCAAAGAATTGAAACACGGTGCATACCTCGGCCTGATCACCTCCGGTTCCCAACTGCCCGAACTGATTCCCACCAAACGCATACATATCACCATCTGCTGACACACAAACTGTGTGCCACAGTCCTGCAGCAACCGAGTCTATCCTGATCCCCAGTAAGGAAGATACACATGCCGGGATTAATTCATCATCTGTACTTCCTTGCCCACACTTGAAAAACCAATTAAAAAAAATTAACTCCTAAATCACAACACTTGAGGACAGAATAACCATTTAATCTAGCAGAGGAGAGATGAATATAGGAAAAGGAATTGAGAAGATTATCCCTTATTAGATTGAACTTCATCTTCAAGTTTACTGAGCTTTTTTTTCCACCAATTTCTACTTTACCTACATACCGATCCTGAAGAATAGTTAATTTGAGAAATTTCAATCAATGTCAGGGATGGATATAAGGATTGAAACACTGAACATGCCAGTTGAAGAAGTGGACTATTTTTGAATGAATGAAGGCCATAATCAGTTAACAGTTCTCAAGATTTTGAATATACAATTAATTAAGGATCACGCATTTGATTAACAGAAGAAAAGGAGCAACGTCTTCTTCAAGTGAAGCACATCCATCCATAATAGAAGATAGTTGCACTTTTAGGCAAATAGACCGGGAGAGCGGGTGACAATAGAATTAGAGTAGACCTTGGTGATTATTGTTAAGCTAATAAACTTAAGAAAAAGTAAATATGAGGGGAACAGATAGGTGGGAGTGGTGTCAATACTATGATATGATTAGAATCTCAGAAAGGAAAAGGGCAGTGCTGATAAAAATTAGCACCATAATCTGCTTTGATGATGGAACACAAGAGCATCTGTTAGTTTTTTTTATTCCTGGTACCTCCTCTGGAGGATGTTTTTTTTGTGATGTGATGATTGATGAATGACCAGCTCAAGTAAAAAAATAATACAGTGCTAAGCCTTAAGGAAACTTGAGAGAATGTTTTCTTTTAACAGAGCTACACTTCACCAAACTATTCAATGCTAGAATGATACAATTTAATTATGACTACTGCATCTTACCTGTCCATAGAGTCCCCATCCAAAAGTAAGTAGTGCACCAGCATCTGTTAAAGCACCAAATTGCTTAATGTTAATGATGGTATCAATCTAATTTGAGATGAACAATTACATAAAGATATACATTAAAAACCAGACATCCAAAGAGGTTTACTAATATTACAACTTCA